CCCCCCCCGCCCCCCCTTTCCCGACTTCTTCCGCCGCTTCCCACCATCCCACCTTCGGCCTTTCTCCCGCCTTCTACTGCCAGCACAATAAGAGGTCCACCATAGCCATGGCTGACTACCAAGGGTCTTGCCCTGACATGCAAAAGACAACGCAAAGCAGCTGTGGCCTCTTCCTCTCAGGCGGCCATGCCTGACTCTGCCTCGTAGCTTCTTGATGCAGCTCAGGGGCTTTCCAGATGCAGTGCTCACCACGGTGATGAAGATGGCGTCTACCATAGCCAGGTAAGCACCCCTGGCGCTCCCCTCTCCTAGTCCCCTCCTTCCTCCTCCTCCGACCCGAGCTCCTCCACCGTAGCCAAGGTGAGGAGCTGGGCGCTCCTCTCCCCCACAGTGCTGCTCTACACCAGTGCTGCTTCCAACCAGCGCTCCAGCAGCGTGATGCAAACTTCCGTGCAGCAAAATGAGGAGGATCTCTTTCCTCCTCCTGGAGATATGGTGGCCAACTTGCCTCTTGGGCGGTGATTTCCAGGCCGTGTGGCCTCCAAGACCACCAGTACCTCCCTTTTGGAGGGAAACATCATTGCGGGCTCTGATATCGTCCGCACAGGCCCTAGCCTCAACTACTTGGACTCGTACTTGCCTAGACCAAGCCTGCTGCTACTGGGCCTCTAAAAATGCCAACTTTTTGTCTTCTTCTGCTTGGCCTCTGGTTCCCGACACATCTACCGCTACTTTGAGTGGTACCGGCCTACCTACTACTTGAGTGCCTACGGCCTACACTACCACTACTCGAATGTGCCCTAAGCTACCCTCTCGGCCACTCGAGTGTTTTTCCCCGCTGCAACTCCGAAGTCACTGCCACAGGTAAGTACCATCGCTGCGGGCCTCCCTGGCAGGCCACACACACACTCAAGCCGACACGCACTCAGACAGACGTGCACACCAGCACGCACGCACACACACAGGCTTAGAAAACTAAGCAAGAAGCGGGAGTCTCAGCAAGGCATTCATTCCAGGGACAAAACTCAGAAATCAGCTGTGTTCTCAGTCCGTGTTTCGGCAGGTCCTTACAGAGTAAAGAAGAGAGTCGAAGAGAGGAATAGCCAAATTGTACAATGTTCGAGTTGCTTTCCCCTCTCCCACTTCAGGACCCCTCCTCTCTCGCCACCTGAATGTATCGTCATCTGTATACTGCCTTGTTTCTACCCACTCCAAATCACCGAACCAGACTCAGTCCCGCTTACCCTGTTATCCCCGGCGCACCTTTGATCCTGCCCAATCTCTCTCCAGCTGTATCGTCATCTGTATGCTGCCTTGTTTCTACCTACTCCGAATCACCGAACCAGACTCAGTGCCACTCACCTACCCAATCTCTCTCCAGCACTAGCATATTCAAGACTACTTTCTTCCCCCGAATACAACGTACAGGCCCTTATAGCTGTATTTGTGGTATCTCTTAGTCCTAAATACAGCTATAATGACCGTACGGCGTACGCTGTATTTGGGGGAATAAGGTGGTGCGATAATACTGAGACTTGAAATGCCAATGCCGGTCATCTGAAGCAGCGAGGAGTCCCCTTCTTCAGTTTACCACCAAACTTCCTCCTTGAAGCTATGGCAACCTTCTGTCTCATCAGCGTCTCATCCGTCAACCTCACAAATGCCAGTGTCACACACTTTTTACACAGAACATACTAGCGCCATGGATGAGACACTGGTGTTTGTGAGGTCGACGGATGAGACGCTGATGAGACAGAAGGTCGCCATATGGATGGGAAGATGACTGCCGGTTCCTCTCCTCCTATTGGAGTCTTGTCCTTTGGTTAGTTATGGTCGCCAGCCAACAGGTAAGGTAAGCGTCTTCCTCTCCTCGCCAACCCTCTCCTTCAATACTTGCATCCTCCTTCCAGTCTCCCACCACTGACCCTCATCTGTACGGTGCCCGACTGCTTTGTGTCGAGGAGGGATCCAGATCAGGGGGGATCCAACCAAACTGCAGAATGCTGTGGGATTGTCGTTAGCGTGTTGGAAGGATGTCCAGTGTCTGCAGATATGCCTCAAGGTGCCTGCCATGTAAGAAGAGGGATATTTTTGGGTTGATTTCCCCAGTGATTTGCTACCTGCAACTGCTGTTTCCAGGGTGCATTCATTGGATCATGATTGGTGTCATTGTGGATGAAGAAAGCATGAAGAAAGCCAGCAACACAATCTTGACCATGTGTATTTACTCTTTCGTCATGGCTGTTTGCAGATCCGCAGAGTCCTTGGACGTCGAAGTCTATGCAGTTTTGCCGCCGCTATTCAGGTAGTCGCTACTAGTCGGTCCAATTCTTGAACCTTTGAAAGAGTGGTTCAGTGATCGAGTGTTCGACACAAACTTTCGCTGTACTTTATCCTTTCATGATCGTCGGGAACTTCCTCGTTGATGGACAGAGAGCAAGACCTTCTCAATGAGGTGGGAGGTGGACGGTAATTGCTCCTATCGTTTCGGGTGTTGGCGTAGCTTAGCAGTTGTCATCCGATGGCATCGGCATTACTCGCTGCACGCATTTTGATCTGTTTGGAGAGGAGGATGGCAGGCTCGGTGCTGAGTGTGGCTTGCTGCTGGACCATGGCCATCAGAAAGGCTGCTGGAAATGCTTGGTGTGCAAAAAGACAGGAGGACTAGAGTGTGGGCTCGAAGCTGTGTACAGACTCATAGGACAGCTAGTTAACCGAGGCAGGAGCTGCAAAGTTGTTAACTCGGTCACTTGTACATGTGTGGCGTTCCTCGTCTCGTCGTAGCGCCTGCTCTCTCACGTGCAGTGATCAACGAAAGCTCTGTGGCTCGCGTGGAGGCTGAGCATGCTCTTGCTAAAGTGTGAGGGGGAGGGAGGGAGGGAGGGATGGGTGCGAGAGAGAGAAAAGGGAGGCCTCACATGCAGCAGGAAGTGGGGGCATGGTTGTTGGCGCTTGCTTTCTAAACCGGTAAGTTAAGGATGGGAGGTAGGGACGGCGGACACAAACATGCCAGAGTGGATCGCACTTGCAATCAGCTGGCAGGTCCTTCCAGGCTGTAATTGACAATCCTTCCATAGAGAATGAAGTCTGGCTGGCTGGATGGCTCTGTATATCCATCCTCGAGAGGGTGACCCGGAGGAGCGAAGGCGTGCTTGCTCATGCCTACCCGACAGCAACAGATCCGGCACCTTCCACAGGCAAAGTACTGTGAGTCCAGTGGAGGGCCATGGAGGACATCTGGGAGAAGTGGCGCAGGCCTAGATGTGAGTGCAAACTACCACACTTGCAGGATTGAAGAGAAGCGGCGACATTCTCTGCATAAATGTGGAAAGTCGCGCATGGCTTTTTGGCTCTGTAGGGAGTTTTTCTTGCTGACAAGGCTGCCACCTCTTATGGGATAGGTGTCACATGCTCGATGGCCGAGCAAGCGACGATCACCTTCTCACACAATCGAGAAAGAAGCAGGTGCATGCTACCCTGAGACAGAGTGAGGTGTGGGAACAAACGGCATTTATAACAAACAAATGCATGTGAAGTTTTGTAAGCATGCAGAGCGTACGTGCTTGCAACTCAGCCGCAGTTTTTCCTATTCGTGCAAGCACTTCAGGTCTGAGAATGTCTATGAAACAACTCTCTTTTTGCGGGAGAGTGCATCTGTCGCCCGGAAATCCTGATGATGCGTTTCTCCGGATTCCTTGCTGGAATTTGTAGGGAGGTGGAATTGTCTAGCCCTTGTTGGTCACCATAGGTTAGTCCTTGTCTCATCACGTTCGCCAGTATTTTGACCATACTAGTTCCGTATGTGGGTTACCATACTTGTTCCGTACGTAGGTTACCATTCGGGTTCCATACATGGGTTACCGTTCTGGTTCCGTACGTAGGTTACCATTCTGATTACGTATGTAGGTTACCATACTGGTTACGTACGTAGGTTACCGTACTGGTTCCGTACGTAGGTTACCATTCTGGTTCCGTACGTACTGGTTCTGCACGTAGGTTACCATTCTGGTTACGTACGTAGGTTACCATATTG